CACATTAAATACACTCTTTTATGTCTGTGTTCAGAATTCAATTCATAGCCTCCTTTTGGAAGGTCCCCTGACTTATTAATTAGCAAAATAACTTCTCTAGCAATGCAATAGTTTCTAGCTATTCTTTTCTTATTTTCTATTTTTAAATGTATTTAGTCACCATGTTCACTTTTGTTTTTCAACTGTTTAGACATAGTATTTTTTGTTGTTGTGTGGAAAAGTTGGAGAAAATTATGAAACCTTGTATCTTAATCTACTTGAACTTTTTTTTTTTTTTTTTTTTTAGAGAGGGAGTGAGACCATTGGAGAGGGGCAGAGGGGAGAAAGAGCGGGACCAGAGAGAGAATCTCAAGGACTAGTGTCAAGGACTCAAGTTGGCCTGTCTTTCAAGATCAAATCTTACAATCTTTATCTTTTCAAAAAATTTAGATATGTTTCTATATAGTAGGACAAGAGAGAAAATAGAAATTATTAGATGTAAGAGGATTTTCAGTCGTCCTTGATTGCTGACCTTACAAGAACAGGGTTTTTTTAAATTTTTTAAATGTTTTTATTTTTTAAATGTTTTTTTATTGAGAGAGAGAGAGAGAAAGAGAGTCAGAGCATGAGCTGGGGAGAGGCAGACAGAGGGAGACACAGAATCCAAAGCAGGCTGAAGGCTCTGAGCTGTCATCACAGAGCCCGACTTGGGGCTCGAACCCGTGAACCGTGAGATCGTGACCTGAGCTGAAGTTGGACGCCCAACCATCTGAGCCACCCAGGAGCCCCTTTTTTAATGTTTATTTATTTTTGAGAGAAAGAGATAGAATGGGAATGGGAGAGGAGCAGAGAGAGGGAGACACAGTATCCAAAGCAGGCTCTAGGCTCTGAGCTATCAGTACAGAGCCTGATGTGGGACTCCAACCCATGAACCGCAAGGTCATGACCTGAGCCAAAGTCCGATGCTTAACCAGCTCAGCCACCCAGGCACCCCAAGAACAGTTTTGACTATTGCAGATTTGAAATGTATTTTTAGTTTTTAGTTTTAAAAAGATTTTATCTTTAAGTAATCTCCACGGACCCAATGTGGGGCTTGAATTCATAACCCAAAGATTAAGAGTCACACACTCTACTGACTGAGCCAGCCAAGCGCCCCTTGAAATGTATTTTTATTTATTTAAAAATGTTTTTTAATGTTTATTTTTGAGCTCGAGAGAGAAAGAGTGAGGGTGTAGGGGCAGAGAGAGAGGGAGACACAGAATCCGAAGCAGGCTTCAGGCTCTGAGCTGTCAGCACAGAGCCCAATGAGGGGCTCAAACTCAAGAGCAGTGAGATCATGACCTGAGCCGAAGTTGGATGCTCAACTGGTTGAGCCACCCAGGCACCCCTGAAATGTACTTTAAAAATTTTTTTTTTAATGTTTTTATTTATTTCTAGGGGAGAGAGAGAGAGACAGCGTGAGCAGGGGAGGGTCAGAGAGAGAGGGAGTCACAGACTGAAACAGGCTCCAGGCTCTGAGCTGGCAGTCAGCACAGAGCCCGACGCGGGGCTCGAACCCACGAACCGCGAGATCATGACCTGAGCGAAAGTCGGACGCTTAACCGACTAAGCCACCCGGGCGCCCCTGAAATGTACTTTTAAACAGTTGACTGCTGCATATGGAAACAGTACAACCATCGCACCCACATATGTCTTTTGCGTTTCTCTTTATGAATATATGTATTTATAAAGTATGTATATAGGCTCCATACCCAACATGGGGCTTGAACTCAAGTCACTGAGATCAGGTGTTACTTGTTCCATTACTGAACCAGCCAGGGGCCCCAGTAGTTTTTGTTTGTTTTGTTTTTTGTTTCTCTAAATGATGATAGAATGTTGGTGTTATTTGGCTTGTGTTTTTTTTCTTGCCTTTTGTTGAAGTAAAAGGACTCTAGACAGTTTCTAGTTATAGGAAAAGCAGCCATATCTTAAAGAGGTTGGTTCTGCCACTCAGTATAGCCACTTTCCTGTCTTAAAGATTACAGGTTTTGGGGAACCTATATGTTTTATCTTTCTTGATATTCAGATATGTTGGATGAAAGCGAACACTTTTTAATTTACTCTCTAGTTTCCTAATGCAATCTCTGAAAATTCAAAGGTCAGAAGCAAAAGAAAAATATCACTATGAAAGATAAACCCGATAGCTTGTTAGCAGGAGAAATATTTAATGAAAGGTACAAAATTACTTAATTTTATTCATTTATTGTTTCAAGATGGCTAGATCAACGTGTTTCAGAAAGAGGCCATTAAGTGTTAGCCTATTAATTGGATTTGAGGATATTATGACTTCCTGACATTGCTGTTTTCAATATTGTTTCTCTAGTTTTCTTACAGAATTGAAAGTTGGTAATTTTGGTACAAATAATTCTCTTATGTAGCTAAATAAATGCCTCTTTTCTTTTGCCACATTTGGTTTTTTTCCATCTTAAGTAGGATTGTACCAAATCCTTTGGATGGAAGCTTCAATAGAAGATCACTTCTGAAGAAATAATTCCTCTTTAATATTGCAAAGGAAAAAGAATGAGCTTTCTTTCTTATTTTCCATCTTCTACAGTACTTGCCTAACAACCCACTGAAAAATAATATTCTTAAGGAGAGTCAGCCTCAAATTCATAGATGATATAATTACTTCAGACACTGTAAAACTTAATAAACAAAAACATGTTTAATATAAAATTAGCCATAGTATATAATTTTCTCATTTATGGGGTGGAAACCAAATTTAAGGTACCTAAATAAAGCTGCTCTAATGGGAAAAGTTTTCTAAAACTAGTTCTTGATCTTTAGCTTTTGTTAGTTATAGCTACTATCATAACTTTTTAAGATAGGCAGATCCTTTTTTAAAGTTATTAGTGCCAAATTTTAAAAAGTAAAAAGTTTTAATACAAAACAGAAAGTTACTAAACTGTATAATAGCATTTCTTTTTATTTGAAAAATATCATGTGGAAGATACATATGTATAAAGGTCTGCAAGTTACATATTAAGTTATTTGTCATACGGTGTTGACTTATTTTGTTTATTTCATTGTTTGGACTTTTTGGTTAGAAAACAGTGGAATTAAAAGGAGTAGGTGATAAAGCTTTAAGTAGAATTGATTCTGAAAGTTTCATCAAAAAGGAGGTTTTCTAAGCTTTGAGAAAACCCCACTCTATTGGGTTATTTTTATGCTTGAATATAATATATCCATATATATTATATATATAACTGTCTATATATGTGTATATAACAATGCATTAGACCCTAGCATTCCAATATTCAGTTTAATATTTAGTATTTAATTTACTATATCACGCGAAGAGGAATAGTATAATTGAGTGAAAAGATTGAAGGTACGGAAAAATAGACTACTTCTTCTACCTAACGTTATCTTAATTCATTTACTAGGTTAATTAATGTGATCATTACAAAGACCAAAAAAGAATTCAGTCAGAAATATCATGATACAATTTGCATTCCATTTTCTATGTGACCATAAATTGTTAGATATTGCAACATATGTAACATAAACCACATGTCAGCTGTTTCCTGCCTCACTGTTGACAAGAGCCCCATTCATAACTCTTCTTTTTATCCTTTCAGTGAATAAGTAATTATTCAATATAGAAGGCAGGATATTTGGAACTGGCTATTTAATGTGGCAGCACTCTGTAATGAAATCTGCTGCTACTGGCAACCTGAGAGGGGAATGTAACAATTCCAGCATGGCTGTAACTTTATCTGCTTTGACTGACTGTTTATTTGGCACATCAGTGAACCTTTTATCCCCGTGAGTGACAGCTCCAGAAGGGTCACATTTACATCCATTCTATCATGTATTGTAATATTTAATGGCGGACAAGGTTGAGCGAGACTGGGAGTAATTTGAACTTGCTTTTCCACTGAGTTGAGGCTAAAAGACAGCTTGATCCCCAGTATTGTGGTGTAACATGCTATGACTTAGCATTTGTTTATGAAGTCTACTCTTACTGATTATAATTAAAAAAAAAAAACCTCAGTTAAATGGTGTATTTGTTCTGCTAAACTAAAACTCTATAGTATACATTTTCTTAAGCTACTGTGCTAGTTAACTTTTTTCCCATCGTTGACCACTAATATAAAAGTAACCATCTTACAGTATTTCTCTTAAATGAGGCTGCATTCTGTCTCATTTGTGTAGTAATTGAGGTTGAAAAGGGAGTATTTATTAAAAACCCCTGGTTCCAATATATAGCATTAAACTTTTTATTTTATTTTTGAGAGTTTGAAAACAGAAGAGAAAAATCAGGTAAATAATGGACTATATTCTTGATGTTCCATATTGTATACTCAAGGAGACATATATCCATTTTAATTATGGAACTAAATTATGACTAAAGTTGTCCAGAGAAAGCTATCCTGTATAATTTAATGATGGATTTGCATTCCGTGACAGGTAATTTAATTTCAGAAAAACTTGTCCTTGCAGATATACTTCATTATTAAATATTAATAATTTGCATTAATTTTTATCCCTTTGCTAGAGAATAATTTTCTTGATTTTAGTGATATTGTAAGTTAAACTCGATATTACTATTTTTTTGTAAGCTATATTTAAAATGCTTTTTAAAATATTGGTATATTATAGGATATTTGAACGGGTTACGCTGTAAACAAAAATAGCACTATCAATTCTAAACTGTAATATTGCAAGTTCACTTGAAGTTTAAGCAAAACTGAAAATTGCCCTCCATTTTGTCTTATTTTTTACAATTTGTGAAAGAGGAGAATTAAAATCTATTTAAAACATTTGGAATTCAAGAGTTGGAGATATGTTAGAAAACCATATAAATATGGAAACCTCATTTATAACTTCTTAATGGCAAATTTTAGATGATGTAATATCTTGGCATTTCTCTTTGACAGTTGTGATTTAATACTTATAGCTTCTAATTCTGTGAGAGGTTTCATAACATTTTCTGTGGTATACCAGATATGAGTTGTCTTTTCTTTTCTTTGTTACAGCCCCCTGGTCACTGTTCCAGGTGTTGTTGTTCTGCTAAACAAGGAAACAGTCAAGATTCCTCAAATACCACAAAGAAGGATCATGGGGGGAAATCCAAGATACCCAAAATATATTTTGGGACACGCACACACAAACAGATTGCTCAGATTACTAGAGAGCTCCGGAGAACAGCATATTCAGGGGTCCCAATGACTATTCTTTCCAGCAGGGATCATACTTGTGTCCATCCTGAAGTAGTGGGTAACTTCAACAGAAATGAAAAGTGCATGGAATTGTTGGATGGAAAAAATGTGAGTAAAGTTATTTTGTTTTAGAGAAAAAATAAGGCTGAAAAGATTTAGTTTACTCAGTTTTTTATGTATTCATGTTTTATATGAGTATTTCCAGTGATAATCAGATAACCTATGAAAATCAAATTGATTGCTAGTATTGATAAATTTCTTATGGTAAAGTTGTTCTTAAAAAATTTTCTTTGAGTTTCAAATCATAGATTTTAGTCCTAATGCTTGAGGATATTTAATTCCTTGAGTTCCATTTTAGTCAGATGTCTTCTTTGAAACCCTGCCACCAAGAGTAGTCCAACATGGATGATGTCATTGACGGAGATAAAAGTATATAAGTGATGTAGTTTAATTAGACCTAATTAATATATTTTATATACAGTATTTTAAAACTTCAAAAGAAGATAGTTTATTTAGGCTCTCTCCTTTTGAGTAAATTTTTAAAATATTTTTTAATTGAATGAGAAATATAATGATTGTCCTATCATGTAATTCTAATTAGTACAAAACTTCTCTTTCAAAAAAGTTATTAACTTTAAAGATACGTCATTAATGGTTTTGAAGTTTTCCAGGGAAATCTTGAATAATATGAATTTGGGCAAGTGGAAATTGAGAAGTCTTTCTCAGTAAAAACATGATGTTTTAATAGTTTTTTGGCCATATTAGTTTGGTAGTCTGTGTACAGTTTAATAACTTGTTTACTCTGGAGCTGAAATTACAAGCCTGGAATATACTCAGAAATTATTGATGAACCATAAATTGATAGTCTGTGATATGACTTATAATTTAATATATTTTGAAAGTTCTTCTGTCTTTTGCTAATATTTTGTCAGAGTTGTTCCTACACAAAAAGCTATGAGCGATAGGTAGCCCTTGAGTTTCATTTAATTGATTGATAGATCACCTTCTACCATGTAATTTGAATAAATTATTTTGTATTATGCATTTCTTTCTCAGTGCTTATAAGTAATTGAAGATATCTGCTTTAGGTTATTTGTTCTGACTTATTCTGCCTCAGAATGCTTAGGTCATAGGCATACATGAACATTCTTTTTCTTGTTCTCAAGTCCTGAAGATAATTTGGTATTGTAATGATGGCCAATTACAAAGTCACTATAGGTGTCTATGTTTACTATGGCTGAATCACCAAAGTGAAATGATAAATAGATAACTGACAGTTTGAGTGAAAAAGAGTTTAAAGTGTGATAACACTTCAATTGACAGACTCCCCTCAGGGTTGTATTACACTGCTAAAATGGATGAACCATGCTGGATTTGCTATCAGCCTGCACAGGAGTGTCATTCTAAGTGCCCTTAAAGTGTAAACTTTCTGATTTTTTGGCTTGATCCAAAGGCACATGTGTTTTTGTTCACTGTTTCTTTTGCAGAAGTGCTCCTGTACTGGAAAAGCAATGCACTTATCTGCTAAAAGTTAATTTTTGTTTCAGTTAAGAAAAAAATCTAATTATCTCCAGAAATAATTCTAAAAAATTATTTTCAATACAGAAAATATGTTTTTTTGTGAAGGTGAGATTTAACAGTGAATAATTACATACTCTGAAGGCATCTTGGTGATCATTTGGTACAAATATAAGCTTTTAGCATAGTACAGAAGATACTTGGAATGAAGAAATGGGGAATGTCATATTATTAAACTCAATCTGTATCAAAGTCAGTATGAAAGATACTTGGCATGTCTCCCTCTGTCTCTGGATCCCACAATCAGGATTTTAGAGGAACCTTAGAAATGGCAGTCTGTGGGTCTGAGGAATCTTTAAAAGGCTTTTGGTTCATTTACTCTTTTGATGCCTCATCACATGAGAAAAATGGGCCCTGAGGTTTGCCCAATGTCTGACAGCGAATTAGCAAGAAAGACAACTTTTCTAACTCCTAGCTATTGTTATTTTGATTATACTAGAAACAAAACAAAAGGTGGCTTTAAGGTATGAGGAAATTGACACATCTTGAGGAATAAAGAAGAGTAGTATAGATGGGCCAGAGGAAGTGAAATCTAGAGAATGAACTAAATAAAGAAGGTTAGGTGAAGCCTTTTCTCTCAATTTTTATTTTTAGTACCTTACAGGTTCTTTATACATGGCTGAATACAAAGCTGTGGAAACTAGTAGTCGTCCCTTGACTGATCATGCTTTGTCCTTGATTTGTCGACATTATTTTATGTTATGAACTTTTTATGCTCTACTCCATCTCCAGTAATTTCTAGAGATTTTTGTGAATGTAATGAGTATGTATGTTTTGAAAACGTAGATTTGGCTTTTGGATAGTTTGTAGATAAGAATGTACTACATATCAATAATTGTTTTTCACTTGTTAAGGACAGCAAACTGAGAAAGATAAATATTGGATTTCACAACAATTTAATTTTTTTATTGGTACATAGAATTATTGAAAATAAAAATGGCCCATTCTTCTATCATTTAGTCCCAGATGACAGTTGAAAAAGAGAAATAATATATTTGTGGTTAGAAGACTCAAAATTACAGAAAGTCATAACATAAAAAGGGAAAATTTCTTTTTTTACTCTTCCCATTTTCTTAACCCTTCAAGGAAATTTCTGTAAAGTTTTATGTATATTTTTCAAAACACTTAAATATGCATTTGTTATATGTATATATTCTTTTAAAAGCTCAAACATATTGGCACATGTTTATTCTAAAAGACTGTATCTTTTGCATGAATTTACCATAAGTTATTTAACATGTCACCTTCTGGTAAACATTTGGTTTATTTCCCTTTTTTTGGCCATTAAACATTGCATTATATACATATTCATATTGATGAAATTTTAAATTTTGGTAGTTATTGACAAATTGTGTGCTTTATTCATAGAAGTTTATACTTCTAATAATGTATATTCTAATTTCATCTTTTAGTAAGATATAACACACTGTTGCTAGGACTTATTTTCTCATTTTTTGATTAGCATATATTAATAAAATTTTTTACTTCTAAGAATAGCAAAGGACATTAGCAGATAGTACATTAAAGAAGAAATACAAGTTACTGTTGAAACTTGTTAGCATGTTCATATAGTAGAATAGCATTGTTAAACCTTGCTAGAAAGTATAAAAAACACAAATCAAAGCAAGAAGATTCTATTTTTTACCTTTTAAATAGTAAAGATAGAAAAGATAATATTAGTGTTGATAAAGTTATGGAAAAAGGGTAATGTAAAATGGTATATGCTTTTTGGAGGGTAATTTGGTGGTATGGTTTTTATGAAACTTAAAAATACTTTGTACTGTTTGGTCTCAGAATGTCCTATCTAAAATTGTAGACTAAGAAAATATTGAGAGATGTGCATAAAATTAAAATGCTCTTTGAAACATTATTTATAATGTAAAAGTTGGTTAACAGTCTAAATGCCCAACAATAATGAAACTAGTTTATAGCTATTCATTCAATGTACATATGTGGGCAACAATGAAAAACTACTTAGTGATGTGAGAAATATTTCTGATAGGATTTTGAATCAGATGGAGAGAAAAAAAGTGACTCTGGTTTTATAAAAAATGTTTATTGTGGCTAAATTGTTAGTAATTCTTGATATCTAGGGAAAATTTGCTTTGTTCTCATTGTTTTAATATTAGGTCTCATTGTAGAGATGTTTTCATATGAATGTATATTATACATATGTATAGAAGAATTATGGAATGAAATACATCAAATGTTACTAGTACATTCTTTGTGTGATAGAATTTAGTGAGTTTTTTGATACTCTTTTGTAATTTCCAAATATTTTGTAGTGAACACTCTTTATTTTTTTCCCCCTAAGACATCCTTCCCTCTCTGCTTTCTTCTTTTCTTTTTACTTATATATATCTGATTAAGTAATACTCTCTCATGGCTCACCTGAAAACAAGTGTCTACAGAGAAAAATCTCTATCGCTTCTGTCTCCCAAGTCACTTAGCTGTCGTCTTTGTTTTTTTTTTTTTTTTAGTTTTTTTTTTATTTTTTTTTACAAATAGTTTATTGTCAAATTAGTTTCTACATAACACTCAGTGCTCATCCCCAAAGTGCCCTCCTCCATGCCCATCCCCCCCTCCCCCCCACATCCATCAGTCCTCAGTTTTTGTCAGCATTCAAGAGTCTCTCATGGTTTGCCTCTCTCCCTTTCCCCCACCATTTCCGCCCTTCTTCTCCCCCTTGTTCCTCCGTCAAGTTCCTCCTAATCCTCCTATACGTGCAAACATATGATATTTGTCCTTCTCTGCCTGACTTATTTCGCTCAGCATAACACCCTCAAGGTCCATCCATGTTGCTACACATGGCCAGATTTCATTGTTTCTCATTGCCATGTAGTATTCCATGGTATAGATAAACCACATCTTCTTGATCCATTCATCTGTTGATGGACACTTAGGCTCTTTCCATGTTTTAGCTATTGTGGAGAGTGCTGCTATGAACATTGGGGTACATGTGCTCCTATGCCTCAGCATTTCTGTATCCCTTGGGTAAATTCCTAGCAGTGCTATTGCTGGGTCATAAGGGAGTTCTATTGTTAGTTTCCTGAGGAACCTCCACACTGTTTTCCAGAGGGGCTGTACCAGTTTACATTCCCACCAACAGTGTAGGAGGGTGCCCGTTTCTCCACATCCTCGCCAGCATCTAGAGTTCTCTGATTTGCTCATTTTAGCCACTCTGACTGGCGTGAGGTGGTATCTCAGTGTGGTTTTGATTTGTATTTCCCTGATGAGGAGGGATGCTGAGCATCGTTTCATGTGTCTGTTGGCCATCTGGATGTCCTCTTTGGAGAAGTGTCTGTTCATGTCTTCTGCCCATTTCTTCACTGGGTTGTTTGTTTTTCGGGCGTGGAGTTTGGTGAGTTCCTTATAGATTCTGGATATTAACCCTTTATCTGATATGTCATTTGCAACTATCTTTTCCCATTCCGTTGGTTGCCTATTAATTTTCTGGGTTGTTTCCTTGGCTGTGCAGAAGCTTTTAATCTTGATGAGGTCCCAACAGTTTATTTTTGCTCTCGATTCCCTTGCTTTTGGGGATGTGTCAAGTAAGAAGTTGCTGCGGTGGAGGTCAAGGAGGTTGTTTCCTGCTTTCTCCTCTAGGGTGTTGATAGTTTCCTGTCTCACGTTCAGGTCCTTTATCCATTTTGAGTTGATTTTTGTGCATGGTGTGAGAAAATGATCTAGTTTCATTCTTCTGCATGTTGCTGTCCAGTTCTCCCAACACCATCTGTTAAAAAGGCTGTCTTTTTTCCATTGGATATTCTTTCCTGCTTTGTCAAAGATCAGTTGGCTGTATACTTTTGGGTCCACTTCTGAGTTCTCAATTCTGTTCCATTGGTCTATGGGTCTGTTTTTGTGCCAATACCATACTGTCTTGAGGATGACATTAGCTGTCGTCTTTGAAAGCAACCAGTGATAACATTGTTCTTGTATATCCTTCAAGAAATATTTTTGCCAAATATCACTTTATTGATTTTTTAATGTTTATTTTTGAGAGAGAGGGAGAAACAGACTGTGAATGGGGGAGGGACAGAGAGAAAGGGAGACAAAATTTCAGAGCAGGCTCCAGGCTCTGAGCTGTCAGCACAGAGCCTGATATGGGGTTCCACCTCACTAACTGCGAGATCATGACCTGAGCTGAGGTTGGACACTTAACTGACTGAGCCATCCAGGCGCCCCTAATATCACTTTAATCATAACAAGGATACAACAAACATAATTTAAAAAATTTTCTTTTTCCAGGTTAATTTGGAGTATCTAGATCTATACTGACCTGGAGCTCTATATGAGTCAACCAATATGTTTTTGTTTTTTTTTTAATGTTTATTTTGAAAGAGAGAGTGCAAATGAGTGGGGTGGGCAGAGAGAGGAGGAGAGAGAGAATCCCAAGCTAATAGCACAAAGCCTGATGCAGGGCTTGATCTCACAAACTGTGAGATCATGACTTGAGCTGAAATCAAGACTGAGCCATGGTGCCCCAACTAATATAGTTTCTTTGAAATTGTGATTGTGGGTATAGTAGCATTTCTTCTGTAGGTAGCTTTAATGATGTTCTGAAAATTCTGAGATAAACTTGTTTTATTCCTTTGTTCCTGTGTTGATTCACATTTTAGTTATGCATATTTGTTTTTAGGGCAAATCCTGCTATTTTTATCATGGTGTGCATAAAATTCGTGATCAACACACATTACAGACTCTGGAAGGGATGTGCAAAGCCTGGGATATAGAAGACCTCATCAGCTTGGGAAAAAAACTAAAGGCATGTCCATATTACACAGCACGAGAACTAATAGAAGATGCTCACATAATATTTTGTCCCTACAACTATCTTCTGGATGCACAAATAAGGGAAAGTGTGAGTAGCTATGTGAAAATTCAAACTTTTCTCCTACTTCCTGGGATATAGGATCAATGTAAAAGCTTTTAGATATTCTACTTTTTAATTTTTGCTTTATATTTATGTAAATACATGAACAGATTTGAGTACTGAAAACATTCTGAGGTGTATTAAAAACTGAAATTTGGAACTTGTCATTTTAATGTCCAAAGTAGTAAATATTTTTAAGGACCTAGTATTGAAGTGGTATTGTATCATGGGTTTTCAACCTTGATAGTATTGACATTTTGGACTTGATGGTTCTTTGTTGTGGTGGTTTATCTTATGCACTGTAGGATGCTTAGCAGCCTCTCTGGTTTTATCCCGTAGACGCCAGTAGCACCCTTAGAGCTGTCACAATCAAAAATATCTCCAGACACTGCCAAGTAACCTGAGGCAGAGGGGAGGGGCAGAGTTATCCCCATTTGAGGCCCATTGATAACTATCACTCCTTCCATTTCTGAATAATCAGAATTATTTTAAAACATTCATCTGAAGAATCTATAGTTTGAAGGACTTATATACATATGGGGAGAATATGTATACTATGCAAATTATGCTTTATGAGCTTTTGAGAAATGAAGTTTGGATATAATTTATTTGTGTAGTTATTCTTAGAAACATCCAGTTACAGCATAAGACAAAATGAATAACTTAGTATATTCAATTGTTATTCTTTTTTTTAAATGTTTATTAATTTTTTTAAATGTTTTATTTCCTTCTGAGAGAGAGCGACAGCATGAACAGGGGAGGGTCAGAGAGAGAGGGAGACAGAATCTGAAGCAGGCTCCAGGCTCTGAGCTAGCTGTCAGCACAGAGCCTGACATGGGACTCTAATCATGAACCGTGAAATCATGACCTGAGCAGAAGTCGGACACTCAACCAACTGAGCCACCCGAGCGCCCCTGTTATTCCTCTTTTTAGATTTGACTGCACAACTCTTGTTAGCTTTCTATTTAAACTTAAGATTAATAGGCATTATGTTTACTGTCTCTACTGTACTACCTCTTATTTGTTGCCTCTTGGCTAGGCCCTTTCCTTTGAGCCACTGTACATATCAATGCCAGGTTAGTCCTCCTAATATTACTTTTATTACATCTTTCTTTGGCTTGAAAATCTATTGCACTCTTGGCTCAGGGATGAAGTCCATATTCCTTTTTCTTTAATTTAAAAAAAATTCTTAACGTTTTTATTATTGAGAGACAGAGAGACAGAGCATAAGCATGGGAGGGGCAGAGAGAGGGGGAGACACAGAATCTGAAGGAGGCTCCAGGCTCTGAGCTGTCAGCACAGAGCTCAGTGCAGGGCTGGAACTCACAAACCGTGAGATTATGACCTGAGCTGAAGTTGGACGCTTAACTGACTGAGCCACTCAGGTGCCCCAAAGTCAATATTTCTTAAGCTTACTCTCAAGATGTTCAGTAGTCTTGAATCTGCAATTTTAGACATCTCTGCTACAAACTCCTAACTTGGACCCTTCAAAAATGACCTGATAGGGGCGCCTGGGTGGCTCAGTCGGTTGAGCATCTGGCTTCGGCTCAGGTCATGATCTCACGGTTCGTGGGTTCGAGCCCCACATCGGGCTCTATGCTGACAGCTAGCTCAGTGCCTGAAGCCTGTCTTCGGATTTTGTGTCTCCCTCTTCTCTGACCCTCTCCTACTCATGTTGTCTCTCTCAAAAATAAATAAAACATTAAAAAATTTTTTAAAAATGACCCCATAGTCCTCTGAGGATACCTTATTCTTTCCTATAATCTCTCCTTTTGATGATGACTGTATTGAAATGCTTTACTCCCTTTGTACCAATCCGAATTCTATTCCTTTTTAAAACCCCAATATATTTCCTACTCTTCATGGTTCTTTTTCAGTCATCGTCAACTCTATGTATTTTTTCTTCAGAATAACTCACTGGCAATTGCTTTGTACAATTCTTTGTATCACTTCTTTCAATTGCAAGTGATACAAACGCAGCTTCAACAAAGTTAAGAAAAAATACATGGCTGACTTTATGTTGATGGCTTTATTCTCAGCCAGGTTCTTTCCAGTGGGAAAAAGATAACCACAAGCAACCACCTAACTTGGAAAAAAAGAACATGATCCTCCTATTAATACCCCAGATTTCTCTGATCAGCCTACGTTGAATCCCAACTCCATTGTTTTTTTTTTAAATTTTTAATGTTTATTTAATTTTGAAGGAGAGACAGAGTGTAAGTGAGGGAGGGGCTGAGAGAGAGGGAGACACAGAATCTGAAGCAGACTCCAGGCTCTGAGCTGTTAGCGCAGAGCCGGACATGGGGCTCAACCTCATGAACCATGAGATCATGACCTGAGCTAAAGTCCGACACTTAACTGACTGACCCGCCCAGGTGCCCCCCCCCCAATCTCCATTCTTAAACTTGTGACCACAGAGGGATAGAATACTTTATTTGATAAGTCTGAATTCCATGTTATGAGAGTGGTGATATCTCCTGATTAACAGATTAACAGTTCTATCAGTATCACATGGATATTATGGAAGAGCAATTCTCAAAACGAAGGGTTGTAAGAAAGACTAAAATGAAATAGATACATGCTGTATTATATTAGCATTTTGTGAGAGTCTTTTGAATCTTGTATTTTAGTTTTAAAGTTTTTTTTTTTACTCTACTTTTAAAATTATGTTGGAGATTCCTTCATAAATTTTTATACCCCTTTGTGTGGCCAGCTGTACTTTACCCCAAGTTCACATAACACATATTTTGGTTGATAGGTTTGCAAAGTATTTTGAGAGTGAAAAATAGGAAACTGTATTGTTGAACTGATACTTGTTAGCCTTAATGTTTTAAATGTTTTAAGATGTAGAATCAATTGCTTATATAATTACCCTTGCAATATTGGTCTGTAGTGTGAAGTTTTAATGAAATATCTTGCCTACTGCTGTTAAATCCATTTTCCTGATTGTTTTACAGAAAAATTCTTTTGTCTTGTAGATGGATATCAATCTGAAAGAGCAGATTGTCATTTTAGATGAAGCACATAACATTGAGGACTGTGCTCGGGAGTCAGCAAGTTACAGTGTAACGGAAGTTCAGCTTTGGTTTGCTCGAGATGAACTAGATACTATGGTCAACAATAATATAAGGAAGAAAGACCATGAACCACTAAGAGCTGTGTGCTATAGCCTAATTAAGTAAGAACATTTGTCTGTCATTTATATTGCCTTGTATTAAAAACATGTTTTATTATGCCATAGTATTTTATAATTACTCACTTTGAGTAAGCTACTTGGGAAATGGATTGTTCTTTGCCAGTTAAACTTTTAGAAATAGGCCAGTCCAAACTTTTGTCTTGTTCAAAAGAATATGATAAACACAGTTGATTTTTAAATTGATCATTGTGAATTTTATTTCCAATTTAACAGAATAATTTAACAGCCCCATATATGACATATAAAGGACATTGAGCTGAAAATAAACATGGTTTTAATTAACATATTTTAAATTAAAAAAATGTTTTTAATGTTTTATTTATTTTTGAGAGATAGACAGTGTGAGCAGGGGAAGGTCAAAAGAAAGAGGGAGACACAAAATCCGAAGATAGGCTCCAGGCTCTGAGCTATCAGCACAGAGCCCAACACAGGACTCGAACCCAGGAACCGTGAGATCATGACCAGAGCTGAAGTCGGACATGCAACTGACTGAGCCACTCAGGTGCCCCGAATTTTTTTTTTTTAATGTTTATATAATTTTGAGACAGAGAGGGACAGAGCAAGAATGGAGGAGGGACATAGAGAGACACAGAATCCAAAGCAGGCTCCAGGCTCTGAGCTGTCAGCATAGAGCCTGATGTGGGGCTCGAACTCACAGACTGTGAGATCATGACCTGAGCTGAAGTCGCATGCCTAACCCGACTGAGCCAACCAGGCACCCAACATATTTTAAAATTTTAGTTTATGGCTTTAATTTATTGCTTTATCTTCCAGTTTGAGTAGAATTCTGATTTGATGAGTTTCAATTAACCAAGATTTCACTAATCTAAAGTAATAGATTTAGTAATAATTTTTATTAAAATTTATGTTAGATAAATTCCTTTTTATTAGACATTAGGGTGTTGATCTAGAATCTCTTTATCTTAGACCTTGATACTACATCCCATTCCATTTACTGCAGCTCTTTTCTCTTCTTTTTCTTTCTTTTTTCTTTCCTTTTTCTTTTCTTTCCTTTTCTCTTTTCTTCCTTTCTTCCTTTTTTTTTTTTTTTTATAAGTTTATTTATTTGGAGAGAGAGAGAGCACACACGTGAGCCATGGAGGGGCAGAGAGAGGAGAGAGATAATCCTGAGCAGATTCTGTGAGTGCTGGGAGCCCTAGGAGAATTGATGGCACAAACCATGAGAATCATGACCTGAGCTGAATCAAGAGTCAGGTGCTTAACTGACTGAGCCACTCAGGCTCCCCCTGCAGCATTTTCTTTTCCCTCATGGTATGGTTCAAAAATATTTTGAATGTTGGGGTGACTGATGTATGTGTGCTTTCTCTCTCTCAAAATAAATAAACTTTAAAAATATGTTTAAATTTTTTTTGAATGTTGTAATAGTCTTGTGTTTGAACATCCAAAGCATACAATTTTTTTTTAATGTTTTCTTTATTTCTCAGAGAGAGAGAGAGACAGTGTGAGCAGGGGAGGGTCAGAGAAAGAAGGAGATACAGAATCGGAAGCAGGCTGCAGGCTCCAAGCTAGCTGTCAGCACAGAGCCCAACACAGGGCTCAAACCCACAAACCAAAGGCATACAAATTTATGTTGTAAAAACTCCTTCCCACCCCATTCTCTACGTGCTTAGTTCGTCTCCTCCTGAACAAGATCTGTCATTCAGTGCATACTTATGAGCCATTCAGTGAATATATGAGCCAATATAGTTTCCCCTTTCCCTCCTTTTTACCCAAAGGGTGGCATACTATACTTCCATTTTTTTGTCTTCTCCATTTGAAGCATAAGAATAGATGTTATTTTTAAGCCTTTTTATTGAGGTATGATTGACATACACAAAGCTGTAATTATTTAATGTATATAAAACTTGATGAGTTTGCAGATAAATATTCATTCATTAAACTATCACCACAATCTTTGCCATAAACATATCACCTCTGAAAGTTTCCCTTTGCCCCCTTTTATTTTTTTATTATAGGAACACTTAACATAAGATCTACCCTCTTAGCAAGTATAAGTATACAGTCCAGTATTGTTAACTATTGGCACTGTACTTTATACTTCTGTCTTCCTATATCTTGCCTTTTCTTGCTTAACAATATATTTTAAAGATCTTTCCACATCAAGACTTAGAAGCTTTCTCAGTTTTAAAAAATAGTTGCCTAAAATTCTATTACATGGATGTCCACTATTTTATTTAACTAGCCTCTAATTAATAGGTACTGAAGTTTATAATCCTATGCTATTACATTACTGTAATGAAAAACTTTGAACATATTTCATATGTTTGAGAATATACAGGAAAATTCTTAGAAGTGGGACTCTTGGGTCAGAGCATAGATCTACATGTAATTTTGATAGATATTTCTAAAATTTACACAATAGGGAAATGGATGGAAGACTGATTTATACTCCTATGAGCAATGTATGAGAGAATGAAAGTTTTTGTCCAGCCTGTTGGGTGAAAAGCAGTATCCCACTGTAGTTTTTACTTACACATCTCTTTTTTTTTTTTTTTTTTTAATTTTTTAATGTTTTATTTATTTCTAGGAGAGAGAGAGAGACAGCGTGAGCAGGGGAGGGTCAGAGAGAGAGGGAGTCACAGACTGAAACAGGCTCCAGGCTCTGAGCTGGCAGTCAGCACAGAGCCCGACGCGGGGCCCGAACCCACGAACCGCGAGATCATGACCTAAGCGAAAGTCGGACGCTTAGCCGACTAAGCCACCCAGGCGCCCCTACACATCTCTTAATATGATTGAGATTAAGCATTTTATTTTTTTATGTTTATTTATTTTGAGAGAGAGGAAATGTGAGCCAGGGAAGGGCAGAGAGTGGAGAATCCTAAGCAGACTCTGTGCAGTCAGCAGTCAGACTTGGGGCTTGATCTCATGAACCATGAGATCATGACCTGAGCCAAAATCAAGAGTCAAATGCTTAACTCAGCACCTGGGTGCCCTGAGATTAAGCATTTTCAAGGCCATTTATTTATTTATTTTAAAAAGATATTTTTTGTTAATGTTTATTTCTGAGAGAGAGAGAGAGAGTATAAGCAGAGGAGGGCCAGAGAGAGAGGGAGACACTGAATCTGAAGCAGGCTCCAGGCTCTGAGAGCCCAGTGTGGAGCTTGAACTCGTGAACTGCGAGATCATGACCTGAGCTGAAGTCAGACACTTAACCCACTGAGCCCCCCAGGTGCCCTTAATAGGCCATTTATATTTCCTTTCCTGTCAACTGTCTACTGACCTCTGTGTCCTCTTTTTGTTCTTGTTATGGTTCTTTTCCTTATGGATTTGTAGAAGCTCTTTGCGAATTAACCCTTTGTCTATGATAAAAGTTGCAATATTTTTCTCCCTATTTTGCCATGTGCTTGTTTTTCCTTTTGGTATTTTTGCTGTATAGTATTTTGCCATTTTTATTTCACAGCAGAATTTGTTGAAAGAATTGTCTATAGTTGCTAATTCTATTTTCTCACTTCCTAGTCTTTCCTCATTGATTTCTGTTGTGTTGCTGTCTGCAAAATTCTACTGAAACTGTTCTTATCAAGGTCATCAATGATCCACATGTTGCCAAATCCAAAGATTATTTTTCTGTTATGTTAGTCTGTCAGTAGTGTTGTTTGGGTATTGTTGACTACCACCTCTGTGAAAATGTTTTTGGCTTAATTTCTGTGAAATAATAATAATTATTTATATACATAAATAATAATTATTGTTATAATAAATTGTTTATATTATTATAAATTGTTTATATATAAACATAATAATTATTATTATAAATAATTATATATATTCTCTCTATCCCCATTTCCTGGCACAGTCCCTAAAACGCTTATAATTTCCCAAGTGACAACAGCACTAGGAGCATCTTTTGTTCTAATATTTGGTCTTTGACCCCAGTTCCTGACAGAGCTCCTAAATCCCTTGAGATTTCCTGGTTGATAGGACTGTCTTTTGTTCCAATGAGGTGATGGTTAGTGGGCTCTTGCATGGAGCTGTTCACTAGAAAGACTAAACTATGATTAGAAGCTTAGAACTTTCAGCTCTACCTTCCTTCTGGAAAAGGGAGGGGGCTAGAGATTAAGTTAATAATCGATCATACTTACGTGATGAAGCCAGGATTCAGAGAGCTTCTAGACTGGTACACACAGTTATGTGCTTGGAGCACCCTACCTTTACTGGGACAGAAGTTTCTGTGCGTAGACCTTTCCAGACCTCTCCCTTGTATTTCTTCTTCTGGCTATTTATCTGTCTCCTTTATTATATAATAAACTGGTAAGCATAAGTGTTTTCTGGAGTTCTGTGAGTTCTAGTAAATGATTAAACCTGAGGCAGGGTCATGTGAACTTCTGATTTATAGCTGGTTGGTCAGAAGTACAGATGACAAATTAGACTTTTATGCTGGCATCTGAGATGTAACGGACAGTCTGGTGAGACTGAATGGTTAGCCTGTGGGGTCTGTGCTAATTCTAACTCCAGTTAGTGTCAGAATTGAATCATAGGACAGCCAGCTAGTGTCTTGAGAATTGCTTGGTGTAAGGAAAGAAGAGTGCCACATACATTTAGTGACCGGATGTGTCAGAGGTGGCTGTGTGTCTGTATAATAGTACAGACATTTAAGCACTGACTGAATACAAAAATGTGTGTATATTTATACAAATGAATATATTTTCTAGTACCTCTCTTTTGGTGTTAATATGTAACACCTTAATTTCTTTATTAAATTGTTTTGTATTTCCTTTATGTGTATTTGGGATAAGCTTCTAATATCCGACTCTCAATTGGAGAGATGGTCAAGTAAAGCAATGTGAATCCATAAAACACAATTGGGAAATCACATGCATGTTTCTCTTTTCTGAATATAAAAGCTTATGTTTTAGCTATATAAATGTTTATTTTGCAATATGAAACGTGTATGCATTTTAAAAGATGTCTTAATCCTCATTTGTGTTCTGAGAGCTTCAAGAAATATGATCAATGTAATCAATGTATCACTATTTTCTTTGTTTTATTGCAATAGTGCATATAAGGATAATATCAATTGATGGAATTATTTTATTTTAGTTGGTTAGAAGCAAACTCTGAACATCTTGTGGAAAGGGATTATGAAACATCCTGTAAAATCTGGAGTGGAAGTGAAATGCTCTTAAATTTACACAAAATGGGCATCACCACTGATACTTTTCCCATTTTGCAGGTAAGACTATTTTCTACCTGTGACATTTATTTAGTATATGGTTTAATAGTGAATAAATTAATCCAGACTAAAAAAACTAACAAATTGTTTTAAAATTTTATTTTGAGTTTGGTAATTAAAAATAATTTTTTTAATGTTTTATTTCTGAGAGAGTGAGAGAGACAGCATGAGCAGGGGAGGGTCAGAGAGAGAGGGAGACACAGAATCTGAAACAGGGTCTAGGCTCTGAGCTAGCTGTCAGCACAGAGCCCGACGTGGGGCTGAAACCCACGAACCGCAAGATCGTGACCTGAGCCGAAGTCGGACGCTCAACCAACTGAGCCACCCAGACACCCTGAGTTTGATAATTTTTAAATAATGGCATAAATTATGACTGAAAAAGTAGCATTATTTAGTTTGAAACAAATAAGTCATAAAGGAATGAATTGCTTTGTTCCCGTCTAAAACAAGTCAGTATGTTTAGGTTGTAAAATTATTTTGTCAGTAATAAAAGTTAAAAATTTATAAAATAAAAAGATAAATTCATTTTTGTTCTCCTTAACTTAGAGGTTATAAACCTGCGTTTATAGAGATCATGAGTGGGCTGGGGGATTCTGTGAATCTTATGAAATTGTATGCAAAATTTTATGAGTATGTACTTTTGTACTTTTTTCTGCATAGAGCCTTCATAACTTCTCTTCTGAAAGAGGTTGGTTTTTTTTCCCTAGTAGATAAGAATGTTTTTATCCTTTTTGTTCTTACTTATTTAAATTAATAGATTTTGCTTTTTTTTTTTTTTTTTACAAATAGTTTATTGTCAAATTAGTTTCTACATAACACTCAGTGCTCATCCCCAAAGTGCCCTCCTCCATGCCCATTCCCCCCTCCCCCCCCACATCCATCAGTCCTCAGTTTTTGTCAGCATTCAAGAGTCTCTCATGGTTTGCCTCTCTCCCTTTCCCCCACCATTTCCGCCCTTCTTCTCCCCCTTGTTCCTCCATCAAGTTCCTCCTAATCCTCCTATACGTGCAAACATATGATATTTGTCCTTCTCTGCCTGACTTATTTCGCTCAGCATGACACCCTCAAGGTCCATCCATGTTGCTACACATGGCCAGATTTCATTGTTTCTCATTGCCATGTAGTATTCCTGAGGAAAACAGTGTGGAGGTTCCTCAGGAAACTAACAATAGATTTTGCTTTTAAGAGTGGTTGTTTAGGACTTACAGAACAGTTGAGCAGAAAGGACAGAATTCTAATATTACCCTAACCCTCGCCCCCCCCCCCCACTCACATACTCTACAGTTCTCCTATTATTAACAGTTTGCAACAGTACAGTACATTTGTTACAATTGAACCAGTATTATTACATTGTTAACTAAAGTCCATAGTTTACATTGGGGTTCACTCTCTGTATGGCAGAGTTCTGAGTTTTGATAAAAACAAAGTCATATATCTACTATTACAGTATCATACAGAATGTTTTCACTGCCTTAAAAATATTCTGTTCTATACTTCTTAATTCATCCCTTCACCATACCTCATTTGCCCTGCTGAGCCTTTAGCAACCACTGATTTTTTTCAACCGACTCCATAGTTTTGCCTTTTCCAGCATGTCATTTAGCTGGGATCATTTTCAGGTTCCTTTATGTCTTTTTGCGGCTTGATGGCTTGTTTCTTTTTATTGATAAACAATATTCGTTGCATATATGCACACCGTTTGTTTATCCATTCACCTGCTATGAAATGTATTGGTGACTACTAAGTTTGGGCAATTCTAAATAAAGCTCTTATAAACACTTGTGTGCATATTTTTTTTAAATTTTTTAAAGTGTTTGTTTATTTTTGAGAGACAGAAAGAGATAAATCATGAGCAGGGAAGGGGCAGAGAGAGAGGGAGACAGATTCTGAAGCAGGCTCCAGGCTCTAAGCTGTCAGCACAAAGCCCAATACAGGGCTCGAACTCACAAACTGTGAGATACGACCTCAGCCATAGTTGGATGCTTAACCGACTGAGCCACCCAGAGCCCCTGTGTGCATATTTTTGTATGGATGTGCTTTCTTCTCATTTGTGTAAATAGTAAATACTTAGCAAAATTGCTGAAATATATGGTAAGACTATTTTTACCTGTGTAAGAAAATGCCGTCTTCCAAAGTAGCTGTGCTATTTTATACTTGCATCATCAGTGAATGAGGGTTCTTTTCATTCTACATCCTTGCCTATATTTGATATTGTCAGTGTTTTGACTGTTAGTCATTCTAATGAATATGTAGTATCTTATTATTGTTTTAGTGTACAATTTCCTAATGACATTTGATGTGGAACATCTTTTCACATGCTTATTTGCCATCTGTATATCTTATTTGGTGAGCTATCTCTTCAGATCTTTTGCCTACTTTTCAGTTGGATTCTTTGTCTTCTTGTTGTTGAGTTTTAAGTGTTCTCTGTATATTTGGTATACCAGTGCTTCATCAAATATGTTTATAGACCTATGCTTCTAATCTGTGGTTTGTCTTTTCATTCTATTAACAGTGTCTTTTATAGAACTTTTACTTTTTTTTTTTTTTTAACATTTATTTATTATTATTGAGAAACAGAGACAGCATGAACAGGGGAGGGGCAGAGAGAAGGGGAGACACAGAATCCGAAACAGGCTCTAGGCTCTGAGCTGCCAGCACAGAGCCTGATGCGGGGCTCGAACCCACAAACTGCGAGATCATGACCTGAGCTGAAGTTGGACGCCTAACCGACTAAGCCACCCAGGCGCCCCTAGAACTTTTACTTTAAATAAAGTTCAGCTTAATAATGTTTTCTTTGACAGATCATACTTTTGACATTGTGCCTAAAACTCCCCACCAAACCCAAAGCCATCTAGATTTTCTTCTGTCTTTTTCTTCTAGAAGTTTTATAGTTTTGCATTTTATATTTCGGTCTGTGATCCACTTTAAGTTAATTTTTTGTGTAGGATATAAGGTCTGTGCCTAGATTCATTTCTTTGCACCTAGGTGTACCCATTTGTTGAAAAGGGCATCCTTTCTCCACTGGGTTATAATTGCTCCTTTGTTAAAGATCAGTTGGATGTATTATTATGGGTCCTTTTTTAGGTTCTTTATTCTTTTCCATTGATTGATTTGTCTGTTCCTTTGCTAATACTGCACTGTCAGTTACTATAGTTTTATAGTAAGTCTTGAAGTCATATTGTCGTTGTGTCAGTTCTCTGACTTTGTTTAGTATTGTGTTAGTTATTCTGGGGTTTTTTTTCTTTCCAAATAAACTTTAGAATTAGCTTGTCAGTATCCACAAAGTAACTTTCTGGGATTTTCATTGAAATTGCATTGAATCTACAAATCAAACCAAGAAGAACTGACAACTGAACAATATTGAGTCTTCCTATCCATGAACAGGAAGTATCTCTCCATTTGTTTAGATCTTTGATTTCCCTCATGGATTTGAAGAGGTCTTTGAACCAAAACAGATAGGAACTATGGCTATCATGATAACCACTAGCGTTCTGGGCCTATGAGCATTAAAAATATATTTTAATTAGACTATACTTATACTTTGTGCCCTGCTTTTATTTATTTTTTTTTAATTTTTTATAGTTTATTTATTTTTGAGACCGAGAGAGACAGAGCATGAGTGGGGCAGGGGCAGAGAGAGAGGGAGACACAGAATCTGAAATAGGTTTCAGGTTCTGAGCTACCAGCACAGAACCTGATGCAGAGCTCGAACCCACAAACTGCGAGATTATGACCTGAGCCAAAGTCAGATGCTTAACCGACTGAGCCACCCAGGAGCCTCTGTGCCCTGCTTTTATTATTTTTTTTATTTTTTTTAATGTTTTATTTATTTCTAGGAGAGAGAGAGAGAGAGACAGCGTGAGCAGGGGAGGGTCAGAGAGAGATGGAGTCACAGACTCTGAAACAGGCTCCAGGCTCTGAGCTGGCAGTCAGCACAGAGCCCGACGCGGGGCTCGAACCCACGAACCGCGAGATCATGACCTAAGCGAAAGTCGGACGCTTAACCGACTAAGCCACCCAGGCACCCCTATCAGTGTTTTTCTTTTATGAATTCTGTTTGAGTCTAGTTTTAGTGATCTTTCCATATCTTGCACTACATTTTCTAAAAGTGTTATTATTTTTTTAATAAAAGTTTTCAGTCGGCCATTCATTTTTGTTTCTGTTGTAAGATTAGGAATCCATTTTATTTCCTCTATGGATACTTTTCTCAGCATCATTTTCTAAATAATCCATCCATTTTCCTTTGATTTATAATGACACTTCTGACATGTATCTATTTTTCCCTCATTTGTGAATTAATTTCTGGACTTTGTTCTGTGATTCTGTTTATCTAAACTGTCATATTTGTTGATTACTCTAGCATTAGAAAAATGTCGTTACCTGGTAGGGCATATCTCTTTGTTCTTTTCCTTTGGGAAGATCTTTACTGAATTTTAGAATTAGCTTGTAAATTTCTATGAAAAATCTGTTGGTGTTGCATTGAATTTATGGATTGATTTAGAAAGAGTTTTTCTGTTCACAAACAAGATATATAAAGTTCTTCATTTATTATGTCTTCTATATCAATAAAATTTTATGATTTTATTTTTAAAAGTCTTAGGTGTTTCAGGGTAGATTTATTCCTACGTGAGTTCAGGTTTCTGTTTCTTTTTCACATAGTATATTTAAAAAGTTGCATTTTCTAATTACTAATTGGTATGTAAAAATGGTAGCTGATTTTTATTTATTTATCTTGTAAGCAACTACGTTGCTAAACTATCTTATAGGTTTGTCTGTGGATTCTTAAATTTTCTATGTAGTTTTACTGTCCATAAGTAATGACTATTTTCTTTCCAACTCCATCACATTTTATTTATTTCTTTGCTGGCTTCAACTTTCAGTGCATTACTTATCATAGGCAGTTAGACATTTTGGTCTTACTGCTGCCTAAAAGAGGCTATATTACTAGTGTTACATCATTTTGTAACATGTCTACTGTATTGTTTTGAAATTCTTTTATT